AGAATTGGCAGAGCAAACAACATATCCACCAACCTCAAGATCCCAAGTGTCCACAGAGATCGATGACTTCCAACAACTTCGAAGGCTTTGGATTCACTTTGGCAATGCACCGGCGCACCAGCTTGTTAAAGCTGTTTTGGGACTTTACCAGGGTCCATTCTTTTGCAAGGAGTTGAACAAGCATTGCGACAAGTGATTAGGTTTCTTTGGCAGTGCTACGGTCCTGATGGTAATGTGTTAGACAGTGGGCTGGCGCAGCTGGAAGTGGATGCAGATGCCAGTTGGGCACCGCAGGCTTTGCTAGAACGAAGATAAGTTTGAACATTGCCATCTTTTGCAGAGGATGCCTGATAAAGGGAATCTTTCAAGTTCAAGGGTGTGTGTCGTTGAGTTTCTGTAAGGCTGAGTTGAGAGGGCGAAGCGCTTCCAGGAAACTGGCAACACTGTTTCCAGGAGAGAATCCAAGAGGTCCAAACCCTCAAGGTGTTGTAGTGTCCGACTTCAGCAATGGTGGCTGATGTTATGACAGTGTTTGAGTCAAATGACCTTTACTTACACCAGCGGGCACTAGAGATTCCCTGACGATGTGCAACAGATATGGAGGATCTGTGGCTGCGGTGTCCACATTGGCCGGCCGGAACGTACCAGTATGCTGAAGCAACTGGACGTTGTGGAGTCCGAAGCGCGTGAACCACCCCCGTATAGATTTGTGGTCCACCTGCAGAACTCTGATTGTCAGTGTCCTTGCCAGTTATGGACGCTGCCATGATCGCGCAAATCGCCGAGCAAGTGCGTGCGAATCTGAGCATTGCGGACCTGGAAAGGATGTTGCAAGAAAAGAAAACATCCGAACCAAGCCGGTCATCGCAGGATGTGATGATGGGTGAGCGGATGAGTAAATTGAAGGAGATGAAAGATGCGGCAAAGGAGCGCCGATCGAAGGTGTTCAATGCTGATGTGGAAAACGAAGATGCCGCGAAGGAGAAAGTTGAGGAAGAGAAGAAGGATGATGTGGATGGCAAGGACATGGATTGAGGCGCTTGCTGACCTCAAGGGGTGCAGACGATGTCCCGCAGCCGTTTGAGGGACGCCATGGCATCCGAGCAGCCATGGCCCGCCCGCGTTTTTTCATTGGTTTTCGAGAAGCCTGAGTCAGTGCATGTGTTTTCGCTGGATGGAAGCAGCAAGATTCGTCTGATTGCTGCAAGCTTGTCTTGGTTTGTTTTTGGAACCTGCCGCTACGTTGGTGATGCGATGTCTGGCCAACGGTTCTTGGTTCTTTCCTGGAGTTTGCGAGATTGAAGGCTATGACTACGTCGAGGTCGTGTACTGAGAGTGGGTGAGCCTGAGACTTGCATTAATTCGTTTTAACGTGTTCGTCACCACGAACTCTTGGAGACCTTCCAAGACAACCCTGTCTAGTACAGGTAGTACAGGATGATGCAAGTTGAATTAGTTTGTCACGAGTTTGGACAACGAACTCTTGGGTGCCAGTTGGACCCAGGACAACCTGCTTTATGGTGGGATCTTGCATGAGTTTAAGTTTTTATGTCAAAGATCGACTGGTGTGTCGGTTGTTTCGCTTTGGTGGCGAGTACGCACCAAGGGAATGTGGCCAGGGCATCCCCTTAGTGTTGAAGTGCCGAGCTGTGCTTGGACTTTGGATCTTTGGCATGAACCCTCAGCAAAATGCAGGGGGTGGAAGATCGTGGCTGATCATTGACGGTTTTGTCATGTTTTGGATCAGCTTGTATAGAGTTGTTTTGCTTCGGAGTGATTGGGAATCTTTATGATCCCATCCTCGATGGTTTTTGCCTCGATGATTTCCCTAGGAAATCATACGAGTATGTTTTTGCCCAATACGCTACTTTGAGTGAGTATGCAGTGTGTAGGAACTTAATTCTGAAGCTGAGTTTAAGCTCACATGTGAATTCGTTTAGTTTGCGCACTTCGTGACTTTTGGCTCAAGGCCTACGAGTGAAAAAGAGCGTGTCCGCACTTGGTTGAGATAGGTTTGGGTTCGTGCTTTCGAGAAAAAAAGGTACCAGAGGGACCTTCGGGTTTTCACGGCCCACGCACTTTGCGCAAGTCACCGGCATTTGGTTCTTGCCAACCTGCAACACCCTACTTTGAAGAGCCTTTGGCATGTCAGATCCTGGTCATTCGATTTACTTGAACCCAGTAATCATCAACCCAATTTAACAGGTTATGAATTCACGCGAAACTGCACGTGCGGGTGGCCAGGGTATCCATCCTGTAGAATTTGCTGGGAATAGGAGACGTTCTGACCCAAGCAAAAGGTGCGGGCGTGACCTGGACTCTGGAGGCACTTTGTCTTGTAGAGGTGGCTGGCATTGACAGCGAGCGCCTGACGGAAAGGTTGGGTGGCGCACACCTTTCGGCCGCTTTTGGTGGGGCTTTGGCTGTGGAAAGGAGGAGTGCGGAAGGTGTAAGGTGCACGAGTGATGGGCATTCTCACTGGCATGGTGGGCAACCAGGATTTTTTGAAAGCGGACGCCCCTTTACCACATCAGCGGCCCAGTGGGCAAGTCTTGGCAACAAAGGACATCAACTTTGAGAGCCAAACTGTACAAGCCAGCAAGTGTAAAAGAAGTCGTGACTACAAAGAAGCAACCGCCAGCGCAGAGGCCCTTATTGCAAGACAACTTAACACAAGGCCATGGTGGGCAACCAGGAATAAGGTCATTCACAGGTTATGAGTCCAATCCTAAACCTAATCAACACAAACGAAGATTTCTACCACGAGCATAGAGCTCGTGTTCTTCACCATGCTTCAAATTATTTTCTTTTGTAATATGTCAATCAAGGTGTGTGGCTTTCGGTGTGAGGTGTGTAGTTCAATTTCGGCACACTTTTGGGCTTTCATGAATAAGAGCTTGTCCTCTGCCCCTCAATTTCAATGCTTTAGATTCATTGTCTCAAGAAGCCGCCTGGAGAGATTCCGGTTTCGAGGTCATTTTCCGGCCTCAGTTTTCCCGCGCAAGTCTGGGCCCTCCAGTACAGATGTTTGTGCACTCCCCCCTAAGCCCCCCGTTTTAAAACAAGTATTGTTGTGGTGGAAGAGTGCGAGCTTTAAGTGCCCATGTAGCAATTGAATTTTCCCCAATAAAAAGCGTGCTTTTGAGGGGGTAAGTTGGAGGGTTTCATGGTGGCGGGTTTACGGATGCTTGGATTGGGTTGTAAGATCATACTTTAAAAGATTTTCTTTTAACAATAACCATTGTCATGTCTTTAAAGATTGATGTGGAGGAGTAAGGGCTTGACTGATTTTGTTGAGTTGTAACACGCGAGACGTCAACGAAGATAACCACAAACACACCTCACCGATAAACAAAACCGAAAGCTCGCTAGTGTCACAGTACGGCAGATATTCAGGTGGACTTATCTCTTTATTGATGTGACTGGCTGGTTCTTTGGATGAGGAGGTTTCGGGCATATTTTCCAGCGTATTTTGAGATATGGCACTCACTCGTGCTGCAGTCTGACCGTGGCTTATGCTTTCTTCAGAGTGCAAGCGAATCAGGTTTCCCTCCGTGTTTCAATGTCCCCTCGTTCTCTTCGGTTTGTTGTTGCTTCGTTGGTGGGGTTGTCTGGTTTGGTCCTTGTCAGATGACACACAGGCGATCAGACGTGCTTACTGCGCTACTGACGTGGAAAAGAGGCGACGCTCCCCAAGAAAAAAGGACGGCCGATATTCACCAACAGACAAAAAATAAATTAGTTATCTTTATTGTTCTTGCATACTTGTTTTGTTCATACACGCGAAACAAGACATACCAGGACATCGCACAAGCTTAAATAACCAAAAAGTGCACTGCCACAGTATCCCGGCTTCTAGTTTTTCCAAGGGAAAGTCTACTTGCGTGTAATGCGATGTTCCGGTTCAGTTTTTGTTGAGGAAGCAAAGCCCTTCTCAAAATACGAGCGCTCAGTGGGCACGCTGACCTGCGAAGCATCGTAACCTTAGACGCAGGGGCCACAGGAACGCGAGACCTGAAGACACCCCCGCAGGGTATCACCTTTGGGACGAAGGAAGGGCCCCAGTAACCTTAAAGAAACTTGGGCTGATTCCCTGGTTGTTGATGCCGAAGTGAATTATGGGGGGAGGGAAGAACACTGTGGTTCCGCCACATCAAGAGGCCCATCAGGCAGGATACTCCATGCTGAGGGATGTATATAATGGGTTTAGGGTTTTTTGTTTTAGGCCCTTCAGGATGTCACAAAGAGCGGGGGCCTCGAAATGTGCGGTAGCAGGTTTAGTAGTATCTTTACATGGTTGGAGTGGAGGATAATTGATGCCCTGGAGTCTGTATTGTAAGCGGGCAAGTTCTGCTCCAATTGGCCAGTTTTCAACATCAAGAACTTCGGGTAGCTGCGCAAACCAATGGTACGGGGCAAGCCAGTGCAAGACATCGACCGCTTCTTCGAGGCTCATACTGGTAAGCGTGCGCTCGAGAAGCGTGCCAGGTATGTCCTGGATGGTCGAGGCTCTGCGGGGGCTCATCCTGCGAGATCACAATTTGCAAAGCGATCCAGCGTCTTTCGGTGCCCGTTAGTTGCCCTGACGCCAAGGGTTTGGGTTTCTTGCAGAAGAGATGCCTGGATGTGTGCTTGGCGAGTTTGTTTTTGGGGTCCGGTGTTGGCATGGGGTACTTGGCGAGGTGGGTTTTTGCGCTGTTGGGATGCACGCACGGTTGCAATGCTTCCATCAAGGGAAGCATCTGGGGCAGCACCGGGGACAGGCCCTGTATTCATAGAAGCTCGTGGGTGATCACTGAGCATGGAAGGGGCTTTCCGGAAAGGTTAGCACGTTAGCCCGAAAGGGGGATGCAGGTGAGGACTTTTCATGGCAAAAATGTAGCTTCCGTTAGTGTTGCTAGCCTGCTAGAGCTGCAAGCGACGGGTGCATCACGCCTTGGCCCAAGGCGCTTTGCCTCGTGGTTCGCTCTTGCTCCCGCGGCACATCCCCAGATTCCGCCATGTCTCTTGCGTTGCCGGCACGCCTGGCCGTGCCTCGAACGCATCATGCTGGTCAACAGGATATAACAGTATTCTAGGACATCTGCGCGCCCCTTTTTTTTAGCATGTGCATGGCATGAGTGCTTGACAGTGCTTGCAATGAGCTCTGCGAGGCCATGGCTGCAACGATGGCCGCCCTCCTTGCTTTGGCCTCCGCAGCTGCTGCGGGCTGCCATGAAAGTGGCTGCGAGCCCTACGAGCAGGCCGCTCTGCTGCAGGTCACGGGCAAGTCCTCGGCGTCGCATGCGTCGCGTGCGTCGCTGTGGCCCTTCCCGGGCCTCGCGCGGCGTGAGGGGGGCACGGTGGAGCAGAGCAGGCTGGAGGGTGTGCACAAAGTCCATGCAGACATTGAAAAGCTGGCGCTCCAGCAGCTGGCGGAGCTCGAGGCCCGGAACCTCAGTGACTACAACCTGTCGCGGGATGACTTCGGCCTCACCAACACAACCCTGAGCCTCCTTAACACGGTGTTGACGGAGATGGGGAGCCTGCTGACGGAGATCAACGCTTCGCATATCGCAGACGAGCAGCTGCTGTTGGATTTGGCTGAGGGTTTCGTTCAGTGCAATGTCGATCTTTCAGTGCGGCAGGCTATGAGCCAGAACCTGAGCAGCATCGTCAACGACTCCAGCAACGCCCACGACACCTGCCGCAGCACCGAGCAGACCCTGGCAGCCGAGAACGCCAGCGCCTGGGCGGCATACCATGGCTACGGCAGCCAATCTCAGCCTGGCAGCGAGTCTCTGCCGCAGGACGTGGTGGACTGCATTCAGAACTTTTTGAATGGCTACAGCCCTCAGACGGACGCGCACTTGCAGAGCATGATCGACTGTGCGGCAACCATCCAGTCCTGGACTGCTTCTTTCACGCAGAACATGACGGGCCTGCGGGACGCCTACTTTGCCAGCTTGTATGCGTTGAACAACCACAGTGAGGACTGCCGCGTGAACCAGTCCACATTGGAGAGCCACTTCTGCGAGTATCACCAGCAACTCACGGACAGCTGCGCTGCCACGGACTCCTGCTTCGCAAATGTCAATGAGACCTGGCACGAACTACTTGATTCAGTGGCGGCCTCCAGCGCGCGACGGGAGGCTTCCTACATCGCGGCCTCGAAGGTGATCTGTTACATCCAGGTCCTCCAGTCGAACCTCACGCACCCAGCTGTGCAGGCCTGCCAGGACCGCTTCGCCCGGGCTGAGCTGACAAGTGTGTGGTGCAGTTGTGACTTGTGACTGAGTTGTTGTATGTTTGTCAGCATTTAGACAGGTCCTTGCGGGAATCTGCTAGAATCCACTCCACTATATACTCTCTCTCTCTCTCTCTCTCTCTCTCTCTCTCTCTGCTGCCAGGACCTCGTCGTGGACACCTCTGGGATCGCCGTCTCCGAGCCTACGCCCGCTGGCAAAGGCGCTTGCGACACCTCGCCCGTGGCCGAGTTCCCCTGTGAGGAGTCCTGGGTGCAGGCCGAATACGAGAGCAAGACCTGGTACACCCAGAGCCCACAGATCTTGCCCGACACGTGCCCGGCCCTCAGATCTCCTCCCATCGTCCCGCAGTGTTCCGAGCTCTGTCGTGAACAGAATAGTAGAACTTTTGAAGCATCGATGATCTAGTATGATATAGCATAGTACTTGTAGCTCAGCAGGCCCTCCACGCAAAGAGTCTCAACACAGAACTACGAGAGTCTTTTGATATCTTCGGTTATGAAGTGCTGTATCGCTGTATCTCCCACAATCATCCCCCCAGAAAGGCCCCCCAAAACCCCGAGTCCAAACCCCCAAACTCGAGGCATCTCCTGTGCCGCCCGGACTTCCACCACGACCACCGCCGCACCGGTGGCGCTGTTGGCCCGGTGCCTAGGGGCCCAGCCGCGACACTCATGAGTGAAGGGGGCTCATAGGCAGTATATGAATTGTAGTTATCCGTCTTCGATCTAAGGATGACTTGTATACCGTAGTCTAGAACGCAGCTGGCACGTCAAAAGCTCTACCGGTATGCCAGCGCATGTTGTTCCAATTCAACAGTGGCTGCTGCAATGTGGCACTGTGATGAAGTTGCGCGGAGATGTTCTCTCGGAGGCAGATTTTCCAGCGCTGGAAGGCTCCCTCGTGAGAAATGCGCCCATGCGCTACTTGCCAGCCTTAGATGCCTTAGCCTGCAAGTACCAAGGCCGGTGTGGGGCAGACCCACACCACTCTCTGCGCCTTGGACGATGGCGTCGCTAGCAAGTTGAAGTGCGTCGGGCGCAACGACGATGGAGAGGCCCAGAGTGCGCTCTCCCAAAGGGTGCAGGTACCTTTGGAGGGACTACGTGGGCCTCAAGGTAGTTGCTAGAGGGCCCGGCAGTTCTCTATATCGTACTGCCCGTGTTGCGGTCCCGGGTCCCCCAAACAGGCACAAGTTGGACCTAAGCCACCCATGTGCTGGAGTGTGCGCTGCTTTGGAGGTGGGCGACCCCGACTCCGTGGGCCACGTGGACCTGGGACCCGGCCGCGTCGCAACCTCCGTGGAGGGCGGTCGGGGCTTCCACTTCTGCGCCCTGGATGACGTCGGCGAGATGAAATGCTGGGGGAAGAACACCCAAGCCCAGCTGGGTCTGGGTGACCTCAACAGCAAAGGTGACGGTACTGGGGAGGGGTGACGGTACTGGGGAGATGGGTGCCAACCTTCCGCCGGTGGACATGGGCGCGGGCCGCACCGTTGTAAAGATGTGCCCGGGTGCATCGCACAGCTGCGCCATCTTGGATGATGAGTCCATGAAATGCTGGGGCTTAGGCACGAAGGACAAGCTCGGCTTCGACCCATCCGGCTATGGCAACAGCAACGCTTATGCTGGCGACAGCAGCAATGAGATGGGAGACTTCCTGCCCCCCGTGAGCTTCGCAGGCCTTTTGGGTGATCATCGCGTGCTCAGCTGTGCCCCAGGGGATTCCTTCAACTGTGCGATCTTGGACCACCCCAGCGAGACCTCGCAGCTCGCCTGTTTCGGGTCCAACAGCCATGGGCAGCTGGGGCGGGCGTCGAGCATCTCCCAGTCCGCAGTCCCCGTGGCAGTCGACCTGGGGACAGGCCGCCGTGCCGTGCAGGCCAGTGCCGGCACGTTCCATGCTTGTGCTCTGCTTGACAACGGCGCGGTCGCTCGGTGGCAGTTTCGGAGTTTCGGAGAGGCATTTTCACGGTCTCCCTGCTCGCGCATGTGATGTCATGACCAGAGAGCCTGCGCTCACGTGAGCCGCCAGACTCGGCTGTCGGGCTCTCGGCCGCCTGGCACACCCGGGTTTTTGCAATGAGTAATGAACTGAGGTGAAGTGCTGGGGCGGCAACAACTTGGGGCAGCTCGGCGCGGGAACCGATAGTACCACAACGCCAAACATCGGCAAGACCGCGGGCGACATGGGGGACAACCTCCCGCCAGTCGATCTGGGCGCGAACCTGCGGCCGGGCACATTAGTTTCAGCTGCACGGGCGAGCTCTGAGGCTAGAGCTTCTGAGCCCTCGAAACGCCCCAAGAACCCCGAACTGAATGCCTTACAATAGTATATAGCACTATATGCAAAAAAGGAAGGCCACCGCCGTCGTTGCTGGCTTTCACCACACCTGTGCCATCCTCGAGGGAGGCGGCGTCAAGTGCTGGGGCTGGAACCAGCCTCTCAAATGCAGGAAGAGGTTTTTTTTTCAGTCGAGCACTTCGTAGCTTATCTATCAAAAGGCAGCTCTGCAGTATGATCATGTGCGTGTGGTAGAGAACCTTGAGGCATGTATCCTACTTTGCACCTTTGTAGACTTGAGCTTCGTCTTGTTTTCCACCTGATTGTAGGACGTCCGTGTTCTCCGCGCCAGCTCAGCTCAAATGCGGGGTAGCCCTGCAGTGCCCAAAGCCACGACAAGCGCTCCCTACTTCCTATATCTTCCTATCAGCTAACTTATGTTCAAATTGATTTGTCTTGGTATTCACCACCACCGATCCTACAAGCGCCCACTCCCAGTTTGCATAGCCGCTCACATCCGCTCACCCACGTTGCGTCTCCAGTGCCCACCCCGATGGTAGTGCTACTTTACACGGCGAGGATGTTCTAAGCAAATAGTTTGCTTGTGGGAAGTGTTGGTTCTTGTCTGGTGTTTCAGGACACGATTCATGAGACGTCCTTTGCTGAAACAGAGCCATATTGCAGTATCTACGGCAGGCTAGATGACAAAGGCGTACTAGAGTCATATGAGAAACTTGATACGACCTGCCTTCCTGAGAGCCTTTGACGTTGCACAATCGCATGCTATAGTATGCTGCCACGTATTTTTACCATAATATGCAATTTCATACCATAGTATACTATAGTGTGCACCATACTACGGTACACTAGAATATACCATTCGCTTCATTTTCTTTCTTCACGGCGTTGCGGTCTGAGGTATCAGCAAACTGGCCAGCCCGGCACCGCGCCGCTTGACAAAGTCGGCGACGCCGGCGGGGAGATGGGCAGCTCGGCCGCAGCAGCCCGCTTTGGTCCAAAGGCGTCTCCGGTGCCCAAGGTCTAGGTCTTTTGTTCGGAAGTAGTAAGATGTTGCAACTTTCTAGTGTATCAGAAGGAAATGATACAGCATATTTTCGTCCTGCGATCCCATTTTATGAAACACCATCCTGCGCAGTCTACTTGCTCGTGCTGCTTGTACTGGTGTCACATCCAGTATGGCTTGCTGCGCTTATGCCGTCCTTCGCCTACATGGAGTTACAATGTAGCGCAATGTGTGTACACACATACGAAGTGTTAAGAACACACGGCATGGCCAGGGAACAGTGTCGTAGAGTTGCCCCGAAGGCCCCCCAGAAGGCTCGAAGCCTGAGGCGACGCTCTGCCGTATGTCAGCCTGCCTGTTGGAACCGCGGCGGTGCAGCTGTCTCTTGGAGCTCACGACTCGTGCGCGCGCCTTGACTGCGGCATGCAACCTTCAGTCCTCCTTGCAGCTACAAGACCTTGAGCTGAAGCCCCCCTCTCCCCCGATTTGGGGGTGTAGGGTGTATGCAGTACATGCGGTACGCAGGCGCCTTGATGATGGCACTTTGCACTGCTGGGGTGGCAGCCCTGCCTTCCAATCGAGCCGCTGGGTTGCCAATACCATGCGTCAATTTCCCGTCATGTCACGAGGAAGGCTCTGCTTTACCGGGCCATGTCGTACTGTTCTGTTGCTGCCCAGAACGCACTAGAGATTCTGGACCCAGCCCCAGATGCAAATGGCTGAGGCTTCGGCGCTTACTCTCCATGAGCCGTGCGACGTGGATGCATCGCCAGTTGACCTGGCAGTTTTGACGTGTCCCATGTGAGAGATTCGCGGTGTATTGATGAACGCGATTCTGGTCACTACGGCCAAAATTGTGCCACACCGATGATGGGAATGCGGCTGCAGTTTTCACCCTTGACATGCTCCAAGGTATCTACACAAATGCAAATCTTCTCAGGTACAATTCGCAGTAAGCAGCAAGCGAAGTCCCTCCCGGTGTGGTCCATGTGTTTTAAATTTAGCCTGCTCTTTTGGCCATATGGCTGTTTAAGCTTCCCTAGGATCTGTGTTCAACAGTCTGCTGACAGCTCTTCGGCTTGCCCGATGACCCAGCGAAGAAACACGACGTCATAAGCGGGGAGGGGTCGAGATCTTTCATGAAGGCCCTCTAGCAGCCTTAAGCACTCAGACCCCAAAACCCCAACCCTGGAACACGAACCCTAACCCGTCCCCAACAGACCCTCAACCCTAAACCTGAACTCCTAAACCCTAGGCCCTAAACCTTCAAGATGTGGGAGAAGTGGTTCCATGCTGCTCACCGCTTGCTTCGCTCAAGCCGCGGGCCCCCCCTGAACTCAAAAAGCCTCCAAAGAACCCCAAAAGGGTTTGTATAGGGCTTAGGCCAAAACCCACCCCAAAACCCTCCAACCCCGCAAGGGCCAACACCAACGCCTAAATCCCCCCCCCCCCCTCCCCCAAGCGAAAAATGCCAAGACGTCTGAAAAGCTAACCGCAAGCCCCCAAGACCTAAGCACAACCCTCAACCCTCAACCCTCAACCTCAACCCTCAACCCTCAACCCTCAACCCTCAACCCTCAACCCTCAACCCTCAACCCTCAACCCCCAACCCTCAACCCCCAACCCCCAACCCTCAACCCTCCCTAAACCCTCAACCCTAAACCCTAAACCCCAAACCCAACGACCGTGTTTTGGGCTGTAGGCGGGGCAATGATGGAGGTTCGCCCATCTTCTGGTCCCTACCTGGAAGTTTTTTTGACTTAGTTTGTCTACTTAGAGTATCCCCTGAAAACCCTCGTATGACTCTTATATGATCCCCATAACCCGACTTTCTAACCCTCCTTACTAAAGACCAAAAGCGCTGCTTTTGTTGTGGACTTTCTCTCAGAACTGCGGGAAAGGGCTCCAGCTAAACAGCGACGAGTCCCCCCCGGGTGCGTTTCGCCATCGCAGCCATCCGAGCATGCCTGTGGAGCAGGTCCGGACCCAATTTTTCGAGATCGTTTAGGGTTTAGGGTTTAGGGTTTAGGGTTTGAGCCCTTTGGGTTTCAGGGTGTCGTTTGGAACTAGCACGGGATGTGCACGCATTGGAAGCGGGCTTGTTCGCAGCTTCAGGTATTTCACTGCACCGCAAGGACCGCAAAGGCCTGCAACCTTAGACCTCATGTTAAACGCCACCCGGCGGCCCCGAAACCTGGAACCTTCAAGAGTCCCCAAGCCCTGTCCCTCAACAGAACAACCGTACATCCGTAAACTCTGACATTCTTGGACCTACAGCCTAAAGTCCCCGATCCTGAAAGCCAAATCTGAATCCAAAACCCTAAACCCTAGACCCTAAACCCTCAACCCTCAAGTCCTCGATCCTGAAAGCCAAATCCGAATCCTGAGCACGGGTGCAGGCGTGCGGCAGCGGGTCTCCCCAAACCTGGGCATCGAGGCAGAGGCAACGACGAGTGACCCGAAGTTTCTACTCTGAGCAGTTCAGGGTTCAGGGTTTAGGGCTTGGGGAGTTTAGGGTTTAGGGTTTCCGAAGGTTTGCGCGTTTAGCTGAGCTCGGTTTTGTGAATAAGAGCTCTCGTTGAGGAACTTAGTTGTTGCCACCACAGGAGGGTGATGACAAGCACTCCAGATCCTGAGAAGGCGGAGAGGCACCCGCTATGACCAGAGTCAGCATCGTAAAGAAACACGTCGCAATAGTACTGCAGCCATCTTAGCAGCCATCGCATCGGCAATGATCACAACAACGATGCTAGTCGATAATCGTCAACCTGATGAGCACCAGGCAGCCAGCAATGGTAGAGAAAGGATCACATCAGGATATTGGCTAAAACCCTAAACCCCAAGCCCTAAACCCTAAACCCTAAACCCTAGACCCTAAACCCTAAGCCCTAAACCCTAAACCCTAAACCCTAAACCCCAAACCCCAAGAAGGAAAGGTCTTGCGCACTCCCGGCCTTCCAGGATGCAGGTGGGTACGACCATCAGCAGCCGCTGTTTTGGACCTTTGGTGGTTTTGGAGTCCTTGGTGGTGGCTTTCGGGCTTAGGGTTTCAGGGTTAGGGGTTTAGGGTTTAGGGTTTAGGGTTTAGGGTTTATGATGATGGTGATGATGATGATGGCGGCACAGTGCATACACCAAGTACTTGCAGGTTCATGGTACCTATGAACCAATTATAACTGTACGTAGAACTGTACTGAAAACCAGATTAGGGCACTTGAGGGGCTTGTAAGTGGGTTATAAGTACCGTGAAATTTGGTTCGTAAGCACCATGAGCCTCCAAGTAGTCCTAAACCCTGAACCCTAAACCCTAAACCCTAAACCCTAAACCCTAACCCTAAACCCTAAACCCTAAACCCTAAACCCTAAACCCTAAACCCTAAATGGTTCATAAGCACCATGAACCTCCAAGTAGAAGAATGCCCATCATATTGTCGGCACCGAGTCACGAGCCGGGTCCGAGAGGTGAGCCGAACCGTTTCAGGTCGGTCGGATGAAGAAGCCCAAATCATTGGCGTAGTGCTGTTTTGCCTTGTAGCTCATATATTGTTATACCAGAAGGTTCTGCAAAGCCCGGTTCGAATTCTTAGGGCCCCCTACCCGCAGACCCTGTGCGTCCTTCAACAAGAACCCCTTATTGAAAAAGAACCCTACGTTGCCCACATTTCAGGTCCTCTTGTCGCCGTGAAGTTGCGCGGGTGCACAGGGTAGCCTAAACCCTAAATCCTAAACCCTAAACCCTAAACCCTAACCCCTAAACCCTAAACCCTCCGAAGCCCGAAACCCGTGAAGTCTTCAACTCTCGGACTCTGCGAGGGGGCGGGGGGGGTGGGGGGGTGGGGCGGGTGGCGAGATGCAGTTGACAACAGCAAAGAGCTTCTCAAGCACTGAACCACTCGGGCAGTGTTCCGAGTTTTGGGTTTTAGGGGGGGGGGGGGGTTGAGAGAGGATTTTTGGATAAGTTTTGGGGTGTTAGGGACCGTTGGAGTTCTGGGTGCAGGGTCTTTGGGCTTGGGATGCGAAAGCGCATCAGTTTCGGAGTACTACGAGTAGCTGCAGCAGCAAACGTAACAAATCGTGACGACAGTTGTATCAAGCGTGTTGTGAAGAAATAACGGTCAAAACGCAGTCCTTGAACTTCGCACGCTTGCTCGCTGAGGCTTTTTTCTGCGAAGATGCACATTGCCGAGAGACATCATGCCACAGGCACCTTAAGATCGCAATTATCTGTAGCAGCTTGACCTCTAGCTTTCCTTCAGCTTAGAGAGGAATGCAGCGGTTTTTTGAGCAAGAGCCTGTGTTTGAAGCCTTCTTCTTTGTTGGATGAGGTCAGCACGAGTGGCTGAAGAGCGCTACACCCTGCGTTCGCTGCATCATTGAGCGGAAGCTGGGATTATGAAGGTTTCATGCAGTTGGGGCGGCCGCACGTGCGGTCAGTCGCAACGAGACACCCCTCATCGCGGTTCCCGAATCCCGCCCGCGGCTGCAACTTTGCTGCTAGCCGCTCCATTCCCTTCCATTCCATTCCAAGCCTAAAGATCGGTGTGGGGAAGGGGAAGGGTTGGGAAGGAGACCCGGATCCGGGTCTGCTCGTTCTAGATGCCGGCAGGAAGCCGAGAGGCGAATTAGGTGCCTGCCTATCTTCGCAAGCCTCCGGTGTTCGGTTTGTACGGCTTGCTGTTGCATGGAGGTCTGCGCGGGCGGCTTCCTTCAGGCATGCAAGGTTTCATAGAGGCCTTTTGATTGTGGAAAGTCCGTGTTTGCGGCAATGCAGCTGGAGCTTTCGCATTCGATCACCACTCACTGGCCACGGAGTCCACGCACCATTCAGACCCCTTTGAGAAACCGAAGGCGTGCGCCAAAGTCGACATCTTGACTTTCAGTGCCCGCCCCATGTGTGGGCAAGATGGGGCCACGCGTCTGCGGGTTGTTTCTCGCATGCATCGAGCTTCTTCCAAGAGGTATCGGGTTTGGGGTTAAGGGCCCCTAAGCTTCAGCCTCGAGGTCGCAAGCTCTGCAGCTTTCAGAAAGCCCTACAAGCTTCCCAAACCCATCCAACACCGCAGCGAGGATCTCCAAGGTGACATGAGCTGCAGCACTTAGCAAAGCATCATCTCCAAGCTAAGAGCGCGGCGTATAGATCTTTGACCGGGAGCAGGAGGAGCAAAAAGGCGCGCCGACTTTAAAGATCATCCTGTATTGCACCTGCAGCGGTTGAGAACCGCTCCCGGCTTTGCAGGGATCGCCACTCGCCGCGGAGTCCACGTGCCGTTCGTGCCATTCAGACCCCTTTGAGAAACCGAAGTCACGCGCCGAAGTTGACATCTTGCCTTTTCAGTGCGAGCAGCATGGGCAAGGCGGGCCACGAGCTTGCGGACCGCCCTCGTGTGCGCTTTTGGCACTGATTCGAGCTTCCCTGCTTCTGGCCTGCGCCCCTGCCTCGAGGCCTTCGCTTCTCCCCTGAGGCTCCCCTTGAGCCAAATCAGCGTCGAGGTCGCAAGCTCTGCTTTCGGAGTGCCATGAGCTCTCAGTCCAAAACCGCAGCGAGGATCTCCCGGTGAAAGGAGCTGCAGCAGTTAGCTTTGCCTAAACCCTAAACCCTAAACCCGCCTTGCACCCGAAACTCTGCCTTTTCAAGTGAGCAGGGCCTGTCAACCCGGTTTGCATTTCCAGCGCCATGATTCGGAATCAAGCTAAGAGCGCGGTCTAGATCTTTGACGGGGAACAGGAGGAGCAAAAGGGGGCTGACTTCAAAGACCATGCTACAGTTGCAGCGGTTGAAATGTGCTCCCGAGGCTTTCGCAACAATCCTTGTTTAGCAGTCGATGCTGCGGTCGACGTGGGAAAGTTTCTTCTGCATCCAGGACGCCATATCGGCGACACGGCAGTTCCCAAATTTCCTGTTGCGAACAGGGTCCCTTGCTTGGGCCATGCTCTCAGTCTCTACTTCTCGAGACAAACCTGATTTCGCACACCGAATCTGTCAGAAATACAGCCAATGACGCACCGCCAGGTTTGCCAGCCGCCTTGTGAGCCCCATTCGACTCAGGCGAAGTTGCTGGACACCGGAGTTGATTGGTGCAACACTGAGCCCCAAGCCCTAAACCCTCTTCATGCGCTTGGAGCAGCCCTGTTCGCCAATCTCGACATCTTCGGGTTTTGCGCGCCTCTGTTGCGAGCCTCTGCTGCGAGCTCTGGCTGGGCTCTCTTGGCACGAGGCACTGGCCCTCGCCCCTGGCACCTGCGTCGGCTTCAGGGGCGCAGTCCCAGTCCCCACTGTCTGCCTTTCAGATCACACGGTGCACAATGTGCACATGCTCCACTTGTCAGATCTCTCCAACATCCACCTCGCAGGATGTATGGTCGACTTTTCACCTTGGGCACGATGCACGTACCCCCTCCCCTTATGCATGATCGGCTTGCACTTGCGGAGTGTTCTTCTGACCTTTTAAAGCATCCTCTAAACCAGGCTGCTCTGGCTCCAGCGGCTCGAAGTCGAAATCCCCCAGTGGACTTTGCATCTGCTCGGAGGGGTCACGTGCTGACGCGTGCCGTCCTGACACGCGCAGCCTCCTCGGTCTAGCAGGAGGGGGCGCCACAAGCCCCGAAGCTGTGTCCAGCAGGATGAAGCGCCTGGAGTCCTACAGGATCAAGCCCAGGCGTTCGACTCGGATTCTTCAGTTTATTTGCACACGCTCAGCAACCAGGGGCTAACTATAATATAGAGGAACCATACTGACAAACAGTCAGGCTGCCGGTTTGAAATCTTGAAAGCACCGTCCGTAAACTCTGGAACTGACTGGTGTTCAAGACAGGCCGGGCCCAGGCAAATGGAAAGCCTTCTTGCTCAGGCAGGCGAGTGAGGCCACCGTCCCCACAGTGCTCCCAGAGCGCCACCAGAAGTCTTCAGCAAGCTCCCACACTCTGCAGCACCGCCGATCTCTCGTACGGCTCACGCCGGGCATGAGCGGCAGAAGCTGTTCGAAGCCGTCCTCCTTCCTCCTCCTCCCCCTCCCCCCGAACCCTAACAATAGAGCTGCTGGTGCGCCGGGTCGTTGGTTGGGCCTTTCCTTCCTCCAGGGGTTTGGACTTTCTGCGGAATGAAGTCAAAGTTGCCATGACTGCGTCTTCCATGCTTGCCCTCCTCGAGCGGTGTTAGCTTCTAGGCAGCCGGTGCTTCGCAGCACTTGCTCTAGACAGCGTTAACTGTCTGCATTCCTTGTTTGCTGCTTACTCGTGCTTACTCTTGTGAGAGGTCCCTGCACATTGAGAAGGAAGACCCTCGCGACCCGAGGAGGACAAGCAAGCGGTCGGTTTACGTTTACATCCGACGCCTGCATTCCTTGTGCAAGCCGAAGGCTTCGCACCTGGACTTGAGGACGCGACCCCAGTGGGGCTGTGAGGATGGCCCATTGACTCGGCCGTGAGCTTTGCGATGCCGAAGGCGATCAGAGAAGTCGCTCAGTCAAAGTGGGCATTGAGAGGACGTGCTGCCGAGATGCACTGCTGATGGCATCTGACCTGGTGCTCTCTTTCAATGCTCGAGAGCAGGCTGTAGTCGAGTTGTTAGGTGCAGCTCAGACGAAGGCGGGTATCGAGTTTGTGGGTTCATCCTAGAGCCCTAAACCCTCAAGAGCCCTAAATGCTGTTTACTGAAGACACGCGTATGATCGCCTTTTGCAGTTTCTGCTCCCAGGCAGGGAACGCCGCCTGAATCCTACATGGACCACTATAGGCCTGGAGGCTTCCTTTCTTCTGCCGAGGCAAATCGCCGGCACCACTTGCACAAAATTGCCTCGCCCTAAGCCCTAAGCCCCAAGCCCCAAAACCCTGACGCGATTCCTCCGACGCATTGCTCAGTAGCCTTACCCCAGCTGCATCTTTCCAGGGGCCTCGAAGAGGCTCCGAGCCCTCATGCAAGCGCGTCAAAAGAACCCGACCCACGCAAGTGGACGTTCCCCACTATAGAAACCTTAATATATTTTAATATGCTGCTGATCGCGCGCCACGTGCTGCCGAAGTAAGCTGCGAAGCTTCATGCGAGACGGCCCAGTATGCTTCCACAACTCATCAGCACTACAGCTTCGCTTTGATTGGGTAGCGCCGCCCTCTTCGAAGTGGTTGGGGAAGCCGGTCTGGTGCGTTGGTTTGCTGCGCGGAGCTTCTTTAGCAAGATCGCGCCCTGTCGACAGCACAGCTGCCATGCATTGGAGGGGGCTCCGGGATGTTGAAGAACCGTGATCCTCTTTCCCTTAGCATGAGGGATCCAATATTAAGACCCGTGAAGAAAGGAGGCTTTGTCATCGTGCCCACTGTGCCACGGGTCTGTAAGCTTCGCGCGACACCCACCATCTGCACGCAAGGCCTGCGCCCGAAGATGAATCGGGCTGCGTCGGGAAATCGATGCATTTTCTGAAGACTTTGGAGTTTGAAGCAGTTCAGACGGTGAGAAGAGGAGGCGGCCCGACTGGCCCGACCTTGTGCTCTCTGGCCTAGGCATAGTTATCTGCGTCTCTCTTGCCGCTCTGGAAGTTCTGCGAGGTGCTTGTAAGCTGTGCGTTCTGGAGGCACCGGGGCTGTTGGACCAGCTGGTGCATTGCAGCCCCATGAAGGCCCTCTGAAACCCTCTCCTTGATAGGAACACCTACAGGAGCCCTGAAAGAGAGCCCCTGTTCTCTGCGCGGAGCCAAGCAAAATGCAAGCAGGCTTTGTCCTAAAGCCCCAAAAGAATCCCTCGCAAGATCCGCCTGGACTCGTTGGTGCATTTGCTTTGGCCCTTCCCTTCGCCACTTGGCCGCCGCCTCTGCTTTCCTGCTCTTGGCAGATTCCTGTTGCGCGGTAGTCCCTACCTGCAATCTCTTCGCCGTGCCTCCTCAAAGCTACGATGATACATGGGTTTACGCTGAGTACTGTGCTTTCTTTGTGCTGGTAAGCTAACCTAAGTTCCTTGACGGAGGGCAAGGCGACTTGCGCGTTGTGCTGGCGCTCTCATGTGGCGTGCACCCGGGTTCTTGAGGAGTGCTTTGCGGTTGCTGCCGGCAGTCGCCAAAATCGGAGCGAAGCACGGCCAGGGTTCACTGCGGGATCGATTTGCCCTTGCAGAGAGACGAGGGCATCTGAGGCTGCAGAGCTTGGGGTCATCCTCGGGCTCATCAAGCTGGCGTTGCGGTGGAAGGTGCAGGACCGAAGGTGTGCGGTTACCACAGTTGCATGTCAAAAGGCCGTCGAGCTGTTAGCTCATGGCACACTCACATCCGCGCATGGTGACCCCGCAGGAGCCCGACCGAGGTTCATCAAGCCTCCCGCTCACCTGATGTGAGAAAGCACGTTGTTGAAGCCTGGATTCGCAGCTGTAGCCAGGCTTCCTTGGACTTGCTGTCGCCGTTTCAGCGCGAACTTCGCCACCTTTCACACCCTGTAGGTCTTAAATCTTGTATCCCACGGCGTTGGTAGGGCTGTACCCAAAGTCCAAAGCCCTGGAGGTCTCAAAAGAGCCACTGTGCCAACGCCGATCTCCCCACCCCGCGTGTACCATCAGTGCCAAGGCTTTATGTGATCCCGTTGCAGACGGCCCCTTGTTGAGATAAGATGCAATGCCCTTGGCCGCCACGTAAAGGACACTGCTGAGGCTTGCACTTGGCTCCGACGGAGAGGATCTGCTGGAGCAGTTTTGAATTCAACCCATGCTTCGCTTTCTTATCAAGGCACTTGCCGCTTCAACAAGCGCCCCCGGTTCACAGCCTCCATGGGCTTTTGCGAGTCTCCAACAAGGGCCAGGGGCGTTGAGAGACGGCGGCAGAGGCAGGGCTGATAGCGATGCAGACGGCGTGAAGCCTCGCAAGGCGCAGCCCGAGCCTCTCTTCCGGCCAGATGCGAGGCCCGTGTCGGTGGCATTCATCAAGAAAAGTCCGCCTTTGCAAGGTTGGCAACTCATCCCTACCATCCCCACCTCCCCGCGATGCGGGGGGCGGAAGCCTGGCCGCACACCAGTTGTGTATATTCGAAGCGATTCAAGGATAACGCACTACAGGTTTGCCAGCGGACTCAGGCGAAGTTGCTGGACACCAGAGTTGACTGGTGAAACTCTGAACTCGGAGTCTCCGATGCTGACCCAGTCGCTCGGTTTTACAGGGCGTTCCTTGGGGTTTGAAGGGCTTCACACGGTATGGAGACCGTCCTCTCTCAGAGTTCCTTGTTTGCGGCCGGAGACCTGGACAAGGAATGGACCACAAGGGATCCTGTCCGTGAGCACTCCTGATTTCCGGGTTCCCAGAAATCGGTTTCATGCAAGGTTGCGTCGCCCCCCCTTGTCCTGAGAGGATCTCGTGCCTGACTGGCCCGAAGACGCCCCCAAGAAGGCCTAGGCTCTGGCATTGTTCCTGGACTTCCGAGGATGCTGAGCACGTGACTTCCCCCTCTTCGCCTAAAACCGGATGTGCCGGAAACGCTGCAAAGCTCCGGCGCTCAACCGCCAGGTTCCCCCTGTCTGATATTTAACGCGGCCTGTACCGCAATGAACCGCCTAGACCTTGCAAGGGACAAAGGGGGTCGGGGGTCTGCTTCGGGAGCCAAAGACATGATCTGGCTGGGATGCCTCTCCAGGCGCAGGAGACTTCCAGTCCAACGTGGCCTGTAACATGGCTGGCTGTTGCAGCCTGAGCGGCCTTGGTGTTCCCAGACATGCCAACCGGTACCCCGGGGTCTGTTGTAGAGTCCCAAGCATGTGGAAGACGGTCACCGGAAACGGTCTCTCCTCAACAGACCGTCGCGCAGAGGCAGAGTGAGGCTCCTTGACCCCAAGGGGCTTCAGCAGCCGTTAGGCTGCCGGCGGCGGAGCCAGCGGAGCTCTGACGATGCGGCCCTGCTCGCACCTGTGGCTTCCTGAGCCTACACAGGGACTCCAATACCCCCTCGTGGTTACGGCTGTTTTGAAGGATGCCGGGGTGTAGGGGCTCCGCTCCCCTCACGCAGCAGGCTGACGGCCCGGTCTGGTAGTGGTCCGGTCCTCCGCACGCTGGCTCGGGGCACCTGCAAAGCTCCAGGTGGACCCGGTGTTGAGCTCATCTGTTCATGGCCCTCGCGACCAGCAACCCCCGTGATACTTCGTCCGACAAGAGGACAGCGATGTGATCAACCATCGTCATGTTGTAACATGAGCTTGTGGGACGTGTGCAGGTTTCTGAAATTTCTGAAGACTCTTCACGCGGAGAGTGCAAAAAACTGAAGCAGGGACGGTCTTTAGCGCTTGCGCTTCACATTGCTCTTGCTGCGGGCTGTCCATTGGGCTTTGCCAGAACTCCTTATCCGTAGTCAGGCAAGGTTCACGTCAGAATTCAGGAGCACGAGTTTTTGGACTTTCCGACACATATCCGTGACACGAACTGAATCCTTAGTTTGGGGTTGAGGGGTTCTTGAGCAAACCCCTGCAGCCACCTGTGCTCGAAGCTGTGTCACGTGACAGAAGATGAGCTGTTGAAGGTGTATGGTCGAGCATGCCCAGCATGACAGAACGGATGCAGGCTCTCCAAACATGTTCCACAAGAGCGTGCAAAAAAGCGGCCCCCGTAGACGAAGCCTCACAGAGGCGGGGCAACGATGGAGGCTCGCCCATCTTCTGGACCTTAAACCCTAAACCCTAAAGCCTAAACCCTAAACCCTAAATCTAACGGGCCGTCGCCCACAGCCGGGCACGCCCACCAGCAGCAGGACAACGGCAGCAAGCACAGCAGCAACAACAGCAAACACCGTGGAGGTGTTCATGTTCAGAAACACCGTGGAGGTGCATGGCCACACTGTGGAAGTGTGCCTGTACAGTTTTCACGTTCGCAAACACCGTGGAGGTGTTCATGTTCACAATTTTGCAGTCTTCACGTTCGCAAACACCGTGGAGGTGTTCGTGCTCACAAGCACCGTGGAGGCATCCACGGCCACACTGTAGAAGAAACCCGGAACCTGACACCCTAAACTCTCAACAACAACCACAACAACAACCACCACCACCACCACCACCACAACAACAACAACAACAACAACAACAACAACAACAACAACAACAACAACAACAACAACAACAACAACAAACAACAACAAACAACAAAAAACAACAACAAAAAACAACAAAAAACAACAACAACAACAACAACAACAACAACAACAACAACAACAACAACAACAACAACAACAACAACAACAACAACAACAACAACAACAACAACAACAACAACAACAACAACAACAACAACAACAACAACAAAAAAAACAACAACAACAACAACAACAACAACAAAAAACAACAACAACAACAACAACAACAACAACAACAACAACAACAACAACAAACAACAACAACAACAACAACAAAAAACAACAACACCACCACAACAACAACAACAACAACAACAACAACAACAACAACAACACCACAACAACAACAACAACAACAACAACAACAACAACAACAACAACAACAAACAACAACAACAAACAACAACAAACAACAACAAACAACAACAAACAACAACAAACAACAACAAACAACAACAACAACAACAACAACAACAACAACAACAACAACAACAACAACAACAACAACAACACAACAACAACACAACAACAACACCAACAACACAACAACAACAACAACAACAACAACAACAACAACAACAACAACAACAACAACAACAACAACAACTACAACAACAACAACAACAACAACAACAACAACAACAACAACAACAACAACAACAACAACAACAACAACAACAACAACAACAACACCCACAACAACAACAACAACAACAACAACAACAACAACAACAACAACAACAACAA